GTGAAAAATTAGCGGTTACTCAATGCTATAGGTAATGAAGCAATGGATCACAGAACACGTATTAATAGCATCATTTGATGTTTTTCCAACAGAAGATGCTGAATTCTACTGCACTTCTATATACCTACATATACGAGTACGTTCCGCACACGATTCTTGAATAGGTTATTCATTTACATTTTCTTTACTTTCATAACATATAGGTACAACCTTTACAAATGTAATTACACATTTTGTTGTTTGTATTATAGTAGAACCATTTACTTTATTAGGTACATTTTCTACAAAAAAATGCAACATACTTGAAATTCTTAAAATAACCAAGATTTTTCAATTATTTTTCTGTGGCTCATCTAAGTCTTTTGCTTTTTATATAGGGTGTAGCATCTAAGACTTCTTGGACTTTACCACAAAAGAATATTTGCAGATTTGGAGAGTAGATAAGGTACTTGAAAAGTACTTATTCCTTTATGTAACATGTTATACCATTAATTTTTTTATGGAACGATTTCGCTTTCCTTTTCATCAGTTTTTCGTTTTTATAGAGAAACTAAATCGGGTCGTCGCCTAAATTTTGAATTAAAAGCACACTGGGGTTTGAAGTTTATTTTAGTAAGTAAAAATAATACCTATAGGTACAGGGTCGCTAATAAAGATGGAACCAAAACTCTCACGCTCAAACCGTTTATTATATACCTATAAATAAGAAATAGAGTGCTTCCGTTTGAAGTTATTTCACATTTTTTGAGGTTAAACATTTTTGACGTGTGTTTTTTGATTTTAGTTTTATTTCCATATTAGATTATGTATACTTACCTACCTATATACCTACTTACAGTAAGTAAAGTTATGTAGATATATATTTAATTTAATATATATAAGTATATGTATAGCTAAATAATCGCGTGTGGCTATATTGTTATTAAGTCAAAAACATTTTTTAATTTATTTCTAACAATTATACTTAATTATGCCCAAAACAATAATTTACAGGGATTCGTAAACGAGCCGAATCTCCTATAGGTAAGTGGCGCTATAGGTAGGTATGTTATGCATTTTAGTTATGTACAAGTAATTGCGAAGTACATACAACATACTTTCGTAATTTGATCTGTTTTTACAAATATTTAGAATTTCTGATGATTGATATTTTTCTAGCACAACCTTATACCCCAATTTAGGTTTACCTAATTACCTATACTTACCTATATTTATATTTACCTAGCTAAGAACTAAGGGCATGCGATGTTGCAATACA